CAGAGCTTATCATTATCATCATAAATTTTATCACGATCTCAATATATCGTTGAGAGCCTAGCCCAGTGGTTCTCAAACTTTTTTCGTCGCACCCCCTTTTAAACCTTTAAAAGTGCCCCCCCCCCCCCCCCCCCCCAAAAATAAAAACGAAAATTATGAAAACCACCTGCAATATGAAAAACACCTGCAATAGTTTCACTTTGTAATGTCATTATTTCATATAACAGTAAGAGAGAATAATAATACAGAACTTAACTTTTAATTTAAATAAACACTTTGAGAACCACTGACCTAGCCCTAGTTGCCTGCCATCTTGTCCATTTTTGGTCAGCTTTTTGGCCCAATAACCTCTCCTCTCTCAAAGCTTCGACTGTTAAGTGCATAAAGTGTTTACCTAATATTACAAAACGATGTAGAATAGTGTAAATATGTGCAGAATCGTCTGTACGAGCCAACTGCACGCTGCGAAACAACACTTTCTCTCGCGTTTCGAGACCATTTTCACTTGCCTATTTGGGCCAGTGTTGCATTGTTACAAAAGTTTATAATATGCATGGCTATAATTAGGGATGTCCCGATCCGATACTCAGGATCGGTATCGCTCCGATACTGCCATTTTTGCGGGATCGGGTATCGATCTGACATCGATCAGACGAGGCCGATCCAAATCCGATATTGTGGGTATACTATTATGTGTTATTGTTAAGCCCCACAAAATGCACAAAAACATTCTAAAGTACCATAACGTTTTCGTGCACTCTATTATAAGTGTTCTGAAGCTATTATGTGAGATATAAATTAATATTTAAGTAATTAAATTCAAGATCACGTAAATTTTTCCCTCTCGCGGCTGTCAGTCATTCTCCATTCAGCATTCAAACAGCGCGTCGCGTTCGGTTGCAGTCAATGATGAAACTATCTTCAAGATGATTCAATGTTAATACTATTATACTTGATCTGTAAGATAAAGGTCTATGTTTTCGCATAAAACAACTTTATCTTGCTGGACTTTATTGCTGTAACTCAATCGTGTTACTCTCTACCGGGTGTCGGACGCTGTCAGTTTGATCACAACACTAGAGTCAGAGCACTATAATTGTTCTTCACGCGCACAGTAACTGAAATTTAAAACTGTTAAAAGAAAAGGCTCAATAAACGATTGCATAGATAGATACTGTATAATACACTGTCGATCAATATGTATCTCCGTTGTGCTTTGAACTTTTCAAAGCGGACTCGACGCGCTGCGTGCTGTAACTCCACGTGGCTTCAAGCGCATCATTCTCCGCTCGGGATGCGCATAAGCGCTTTGTGCCGCACTGTATTGGAGCCTTTCATATCATAATGCATTGACGCAATTAAAGCTTATTAACATTAATAATTATTAATGTTGCTGCCTCATTAAATAGCTGTGCAATACACTTAAAACATGTCTCAATTTTATAGCAGATTTAGCTATATCTAAAATAATTATCTTTTTCATTTTTGTTATCTTGTTTTTCATGAATGTATTTTACAACAATAAAAAGAGCAATGTGTATTATCCACTAATCTAGTTTATAATAGCATTTTTGTCATAGATTATGATCATATATTTTGGGGATTTGTTGTTTATCTTTATAATGAAGCTGTCTGTATTAAGTAGATTGTGTTTAACACACACAAGAGTGATAATCAGTTTAACACACAGTTATAGAAATTCTAATTGATTTAAAAAAACAAAAACTGTACTGGTATTTACAATGTAGAATGCTGCTGTTTAAATTGTTTTAACTTTAAACCTGTTGGTAGCTAGCTAGCTTTAAGTACTGAAGTACCTGTATTTTCTTTCATTTATATATTTCTTTATTTTTTTGTAGTGTTTGAATAAAGGGTGGCAATCTTTCATAATCAACTGTTGTTGTGGACTATATAGGAGGTATATTTTAGGTGGCTAATTGAGAAAATTGCTATATTTTTTATTAGTTTAAGAATAAAATAAAAATATCGGATTAATATCGGTATCGGCAAAAGCCAAAGCTGCGGCATCGGTATCGGTATCGGAAGTGAAAAAGTGGTATCGGGACATCCCTAGAAAATGAAATGTAAATGTACTATGAAAAGTACTCAGTTTGGTACTCGTACACTCTCTGAGAGACAGTTTTCTGTGCACTCATACCCAGAGCGCACACACATAAAGCCGCCTCTCAAACAGCTTGCGAGTACCAAACTGAGTGCTTTCTCATGGATTATTGTGTAAAACACAAAAACATAGTGATCAAACATTTAGGTGAGAGAAATGTATTTCTTTTTTTTATTCTTTCAAAAATGAAATTCACGCAATGAGTGTCAGAGATATTATATGTTGGAAACATTATCTTAATTCCTTGAAATTAGGGGTGTGCGATATCACGGTTTTTGACCGTGGATAAATAAAATGCCTCCACGATCTGCTTTTAAAGAAATATTGTAGTATTGTGATAGAGTGCATTCTATCAGTTGCAGTTCTGGCGCCTCCATCTCAACGCGATGTACATTCACACATCACATGTTAATGCAGCGGTAGTTACACTCACGGGACGGGACACTGCAGTTCATAAAAGTTCATTATTTGCCTGTGCATTAAAGCTTTGCCGGTTAAACATTTCATTTGCGTGCTGTTGCGCGGTTCTAACATGCACTTTTCTGAGTGCTTAGCATACACCTGAAGCACACACTAAAACTTCAAACAAAGCCTGATTACTGGACTTATCATTGCGCTAATAAGTTAACCAACTGTGTTTATGTTCCTTGTGTGTATTTGACAGTATGTCTAAGTGAAAGCACACATTTGAGAGAAAATAGGGTGCGTGTCATAGATGTGCTGGTCTTAAAGTGACAGTAGCCCAATAGTAAACATGCTGCCGCTTGTCTTTAAAGGGATAGTTCACCCAAAAATGAAAATTCTGTCATTATTTACTCACTCTAATGTTGTTGCAAAACTGTATCAATAATTAATTAATAATTTGTTACATTTATAAAGCGCTTTTCTGGGTACTCAAAGCGCTTTACATGGAAGGGGGAATCTCCTCAACCACCACCACTATTCATTTCTTTCTTGTGCTGAACAAAAAAAAAAGAAAAGAATATATTTTGAAGAATATGGCTATCCAAACAGTTGCTGGTCCCCATTGACCTCCATAGGAAAAAATATACTATAGAAGTCCCTGGGGACCAGCAACTGTTCAAATTCTTCAAAATAACTTTTATTTTCAACAGAAGAAAGAAGTCAAGTGAAGTCATCTTCATTTATATAGCGCTTTTAACAATGGATTGTTTCAAAGCAGCTTTACAGAGATAAACATATAATTTAAGGTAACAGAGATTGTTTTGGCTTTATAGCGGTTCTTGAATAATGTTATTTCCAGCTAAAGTTAGTTTTGATTGATTCACCTCCGTCGAAATGATCATTTGTTATTAAATTAGGGGCCGCTAAGACGACGCCGTTCTCTCTAAACAGACTTTAAACGCGAACCTGTGATTAACGCTGACGGCGTTCACATGCACATTAAGAATTGATTCTATAGTTATGTGCTTTTGAAAATATGTGCGCAGGATTGTAATTCCATACAACCCATGCCTAAACAAACTACTTGTCTTGCCTATAAATTTTGATACAGAATTTTGTTTTATTTTATCACTTCGGGGTACGCGAACCGAAATTCACAACGCTTTATCTGTAGAGTGGGAAAGGGATCCCCCATAGGGAGAGGATAGTTGACACTTCAGCACTGCATTGTCATCGGGTCCAGGCGAATCTCCTTAGTCAGATCTGGATACGGCCTGGATCCGGCAGGCTGCGGGAAAACCTCGGGATAAACAAAGACACTAATATTAGCGTAGATGCCATTCTTCTTATGATGTAACAAGTACATCAAGATTTAAGGGAAGTGTTCCCAGAACTAGAAGCCTATTCAGGTTTAAAACAACTTGAGAGAGTAAATGATGACAATTTTCATTTTGGGGGAACCAATCCTTAAATGTTAATAAAACAACAAAACACAAAGAAAATCACTTACTGCTCTTGACTGAGAACTTTAAAAGTAGCTTAAGTATCGTATTTAATAAGAATTAATGTATAATTTATACAGTGTCTATGTAGTGTTTTATTTTTATATTTGTTCATTTAATTTCTTACTTGAATGCTACTGTTAAATACACCTCCTGTAGCTAAAAAAATAAAGCGCTGTTTATTTCATTTGTATATTATGTTGTGTAGCCTATTTTTTATTTGCGCCATTTTGGCCTAATTGTCTGCCATTCTTTTTTTATTTCATATTTTGTTACCTTGCACGGCTTTGTTTTTAAAATAGGGAAATTAGTTTGGCTGTAATGCTTAGTCACTTGCAAAATAGTAAAACCAACATGAAAGAGAATCGTGATTAAAATCGTGAATCGTGATTTTCCTGAAAAAAATTGAGATATATTTTTGCCATATCGCCCACCCCTACTTGAAATGTCCTGCGTTGTGATATGCTACAATTCACCTAAAACTACTTTTATATAGCATTTATCAAATTGTATTTGAATAGTTTTCATTACCTATTCATTTTTTAATAAATGGAACATTTGCTCTTTAAAAAAAAAAAAAATTTATCATGAACTAATGATATCAAAATGTTGCATAAAAGTAGTAAAAGCATCTAAAACATGTTTTCCCTGAAGCATATAGCTATACATAGAAAAAACAATCTTCATGCTCCACTTATGTTTGTCAGCTAACCCATATGCAATGGCGAGTTATGGAAACAGAGTTTGAACATTTGTTTCCGTTGAATACATGTGACAGTCACAGAAATACTGAAGAACATGTTTGTTAATGTCCTTTCTCACATGTCCAGCTCTGGGTCTTGATTTAATTGTTTATGTGAAGTGATGTGAATATATAAATTGAAGGTCCATCTTCAATTGTGCAATTAATGAAAATATGTCTTAATCTTCACATTAAAGGTTAAGCTTCTCTTTTTTGTGATCTCTTTCAGTTCTACAAACATGTGGTCCAAAGTGTGGAGAAATTCGTTCAAAAGGTCAGTTCTTTTTGTCTTGAAATGTAAAATAAATGAATAGATATGAATAGTTTCTACAGAGTTAAATGCTGTAAAATGCTTAGAGGGAGCTCAAGTGTGCCTAAAATATTTATGAAAATATCAAATGAAATGTCCTACATGAAAATTTTATTTGTGCAACTTTCAAGTATTATTTGTGCAGAAAACGTGTCACCATTTGGTGAAATGTGTTTTGAATCCAGAAAATCTCTAGATCTTACTAAAAGTATCTTACAAAAGAGATTAAAGGGGGGGTGAAACACTCAGTTTCAGTCAATCTCATGTTAATCTTGAGTACCTATAGAGTAATATTGCATCCATCATATCTCCAAAAAGTCTTTAGTTTTATTATATTTATAAAAGAAAGATAGGCTGTACCGAGTCTTTCCGGAAAAAGCCGAGCGGGTGGAGGCGTGCCGTGTGGGCGGAGCTAAATAATCACGCCGAATAAGTTACACGCCGATAGACACACACAGATATTTGAAGCAGTTCTACTCACCCCCTGCGGTTCCAACGCAAGACCGTTAACCTTTAGTGTTGGGACTGCTCCATCCTTGAGAACTAAATGATTAGCAAATCCGGCTTCGAACTGGGCCTTGTTTATAAAAAAAAAAATCATCCTCGAAATGCATGGAACAAACAAGAACACTTGCACAACTGTGTTGATGTTCTGGAAAAACAAACTCCATCCACTGGTCCCTTAACGCTTGATTCTTTGGGAATCTGTGCAGTGTTGTCTTGCCTTGGCAACCGAAAACACACTTCTTTGGTGACATATTGCAGCGCAGCCGATGCACAGCGCTTTGATGGGCATAGGTTACGGCTATCGCTCTACAGCTGCGCGCGCGCCCTTCCGAGAGAAGTGCCCTTAGGACCGTATAAGGAAATTCCGGCGCATCTGACGTCATGCGCGCCCATACTCAAAAAAAACTTTCCGTAACTTGTGACAACCAGGAAGGAGTATTTTGAGAACAGAAATACTCAATCAAACGTACAACTTAATTTTTGAAACTTTGTCCATGTTTAGCATGGGAATCCAACTCTTTAACAGTGTAAAAAACTCACTATGCATGAAATAGCATTTCACCCCCCCTTTAACTTGCCAACAAAAGAGCACCAAAGACTTCTAGAATTAAACAAGATATTTATAAATCCATGTATATGTCAGCCTTACGTGAAAAAGCCTTTTGCGCTTCCAGTTCACAAGCACAATGCACACAGGAGCTTGGTGTGGTTTACCTTGCTGTGTATAAAGCTAATGGTTGTAATTCATATTGCATGGGAAATCACTGGCTGTAAAAATGATATAATGTGTGAGTATTTTGAGCCTGGACCCTTTGCACCCTCTTTCATTATTTATTACTTTTTTCACTTTTGTGTGTGTAGTGCAAGCCAGAGTACAAAGTTCCTGGTCTGTATGTCATCGACTCCATTGTACGGCAGTCCCGTCACCAGTTTGGTCAAGAGAAAGATGTTTTCGCTCCACGCTTTAGTAAGAACATCATTAGCACGTTCCAAAGCCTCTACCGCTGCCCAACAGATGACAAGGTGTGTTTTTGTCGCATCACTGTAATCAAATGGTAAAGCTCTTGTCTAGACTATTTTCCCTTTTGCTTATTTCCCAGTTTCAATGTTTGTATTGCAGAGCAAGATTGTCCGTGTGCTCAACCTATGGCAGAAAAACAGTGTCTTTAAGAGTGACATCATCCAGCCTCTCCTGGACATGGCAGCAGGACTCCCGCCCCCCAGTGTTACGCCCGTCTCTGCCAGCAGTGCTGCACCAGTCAACAGCACTACTCCCGGTAATTTATACACTCTGCATTCTACACAGGAATGCATCCTCTTCTCTGTGGGACAATGCACTGTTGTGGCAACAGGTTTTACATTCAGAGAAATCATTTGCACAGACTAGAGTCCAAATATGCAGGGACTCTTTGGTGTACTTATAATCCCTCCCTACTCATTTACCCACCCTGGTTGCAAAGAATGGTTGCAAAAAAAAACACACAGAAAAAAATATTCTGGCAATCTGGAATATATTCTTTTAGGGGTAGGCTATATGACCAAAATCTTATATTATGATACGAGTACTTTTATTTCACGATAAAAATAATATAGATCACATTATAGTTATTTTTGCTTTAAATAAGGTTTTAATATCATCAAACTCAAGCTGACTGAAGTAAACCGTATGTGATAAAATAAGAACAAAGAAACCAATTACAAGTAATACAAAACAACAGTTGAATGGGCCTGTCCAAATACCCAGACTTGTGGTCTTGGCCACTTGAGAGCGCGTGCACGTAACAGGAAGATGGCAAATCTCAGTGCCCTTGATGCACACTAAACCTACACTATCTCAAATAACGCTTCAGCGTGGTTTTCGAGGCTAAGCGTATCCGTTCAGGATCTCTGAACTCCTTTTCAGTATGTCAATCACACAAGGTTGCCCTACCACTCAAAATTCTGATTGAATTGTTAGCATCTAGTTTATGCTGACACCTTGAGGCGACAATTGATCATGACGACTGGTTTAAAAGTCTGTTCCATCCATTTTCTCTCGTTTCTGTCATGTCGTTCCATGTTCACCATGTCTACCTCACCTAAAAATCTAAGTATTCCTAAAAATTTGAAAGCATTCTTAAATCTGTATATTTTCTCCTACTTCGTAAAGGAACCCCTGCAACTCCAGCCACTCCAGCCAACATAGTGCAACATAGTCTCCCCGACTGGGCGTCTCAGATCTCCAACACAGACACAGTGGCAGCGGTTGCCCAGATCTTACAGAGTCCTCAAGGCCAGCAGGTCAGCTTTCTCCTCCACTGACAACACTGTGTTCTCTGCACAGCTGTATTTCTGACAGGTGTGTGTATGTGTGTTTGTAGTTGCAGCAGCTGGTCCAGAGCCTGCAGATGCAGCAGCAGAAGCCTCAGCCCTCTCTGCTACAGGCGCTGGATGCAGGTTTGGTAGTTCAGCTCCAGGCCCTCACCGCACAGCTCACCGCAGCCGCAGCAGCCAACACACTCAACCCGCTGGAGCAGAGAGTTTCCTCCTTTAACAAGGTGAGGGGCTTTTAGGAGCACTACTGGCTGAAAAGGTTTAATCCTTGCATTACACTATCCATTGTGAAGTTGAACTCTCTTTTCTTATTGGTCATTCTGTGGTGTTGTAGAAGCTGTTGGGTCAGTTCGATTTCGGGAATGAGTCGGAACACAGCGAGGATACTAAGAAAGATGCTACGTCATCTCAGTTGTATGTTTGTTTGTTTTTTTGTATGTCATTTTCAAGAAAAAGCTGTTCCCTGTTTTGTTTATTTTTTTAAGTCATGTTCTTACTGTCTCTCTCAGACCTGTGGTGTCAGATTCCATCAATAACTCGATATTTCATCAGCTGGCCGAGCATCTTCAGCAGCAAAACCTTGAGCAGTTTCAGAAACAGCTAATGGAGCACCAGCAGCATCAACAGAAGGTACTTAAAATCATGGTTCTTTCTTTACATAATGTGTTATTACTAGGCGTGTTTCCATTACAGATTTGTGCAAAACTATAACAAAATTATAACAAAATAATTCCTTCGTTAATAATTCGTAAGACGAGTAACACTGGATTTTGGTTTATTTAATAAGAAGTTATAATCGAACTTCCATGCCTCTTATATAGTATATATTACAATGTACCAATTTACTAATGCTCGGACACACTCGTTCTCTCTAGCACACTGTTGTTCGTGCGCAGACACACTTGGTCTCTCTCGCGCAGTGTCGCTCGCTCGCGGAGTTCACTTCGCTTTTGTCCAGTCCGCCGCCTTATAGACAGACGCGGTGTGCACGGAGGGGAGGGCTGTGTGTGTGTGTGAGTGAGAGAGACGGAGGGAGGGAGAGCAGGGAAAGGAATGCAGCTGAACGAATACACTGTGTGTTTTAAATGGCGTAAAAAAAAAAAGAATAACGAAACGTATAATGTGGCGGCCGGTGTTGATTCTGTGGCGCACCGCCACGAAGTAGTCTGTGTGGAAAACACTGATCTCTTTTAGAGATGCACCGATTGATCGGCTGGTGACCGGAATCGGCCGGTTTTCACGTGATCGGCCATGATCGGCGACCGGCCGGTCAGTCTGACATAATCCGATTTTATGCCGGTCAAATGCACTCTGGCGCCGCATGATTAACATCGCGCAACATCAGCATCACACGTGCACACGGAACGCGCACATGTAGGAAACCTCATGAATTACGGCCGTTTCACACCGCAAGCGGGAGCAGCGCGTTTTATTTTTGTTTGGCGTGCATGTTAATCAATGAGTGCATTCACACCGGGAGCCGGAGCCGCGCGTGAGCGTCGGTCGAGCAGGGGCGTCGCGTGAGCAGCAGTGAAGCGCGGGTTTCAGCGCCGATCGAGTCCATTTTTGCTGCGCTCAATTTAAGTGAAAGCTCTCTTTTGATGGACAAAATAAATGATTTCATCCAAAAAGTGCCCAAAATGCAGAGAATTTGCATGTCTGGTGGTGTGTTTTAACAAGAACTGAAGTAGGCTAGGCTATGTCAGAAAGAAAATGAAGAGACAAAAATATTTATAGAAAATTTACCCATTTAAACTTGTTTTTATTATTTCCCAATCGTTTCCCTGCACATGCCCCACTTGTCCTGTTTAGCTTGGCTGGACATGTGTCAGATGAGAGAAGAACTGTGTGAGAAATATAACTTGCCATTGATGTACAAGTGATTGCAATAGGCCTGTGTGTGTGTGTGAGAGAGAGAAATATCTTTATACTGCAAGGCAATATTTATTTTATTTTTATTTGTTATTTATATATTATTTTATTGTCATTACCTGTTTTCATACAGAAGTTTAGTTTGCTAAATATCAAATTGTTTTAGTTGGATATTGGATGTGAAAAGGAAATGGTTCTTCCATAACACTGCACTTTAGATGTGTGTGAATTTCCCACTCCAGGAGTAATTTATATAGTTCTATTTTATAGTGATTATCTGTTAAAAAAAATTTTCTATGCAAAATGTTCTATTTTAAAGAGAAGATAGAAAATAAATATTTGTGTGTGCTGTAAAGTGGTTAGAAAAAATGAAATCGGAATCGGCTAAAATCGGTATCGGCAGGTCAAACTCGAGGAAAAATCGGAATCGGGATCGGCCTAGAAAATTGGAATCGGTGCATCTCTAATCTCTTTCTCTCACCTTGATACTTATTAATGCACTTTACTTTTGACAGTCCATGTCCATGGAGGCCCAGGATGCCATCTTTGGTCCCGAAAGTTCTGCCCCTCCTGGCCAAAGCAGTGCCCCACCACAGCTCCCAGAACAAGAAGCAAAAATGGATGAATCCATTGATAACCAACAACAGGCAAGATCAGATATCAAACCATAGTTGGAAGGAAAAGTCAATGTTAGTCATGTATTGACAGTAGTTTAAAGGCGATGTTTCACTAGATGACTTAGAAATAGCCTCTTCTGTTGGATGTTTGTCATGCTTACTGATTAATTAATGATGGAGGAGAGGTGACAAACAGATAGTTGGAACACCATTTTAATATGTGTATTTTGCAGGACATGGATCTTGATGAGGGACAGGATACTATAGATGAGGAGCTCTTTGAAGCTGAGGAGAAGAAAACCAGCAGCACGCGTTCAAGAACACGCTCAAGATCTCGGTCCAGGTTGGTGTAGCATTGTTGTTAAATAGCTCTTGCCTCATTTCCAGTTTTCAGTCACAGGTAAAGAGCTCTCTTGTGAAAACCTCTTTATTCCCAGGTCACCTAAGAGAAGGAGGTCAAGATCTCGTTCAGGGTCTCGGAAGCGCAAACACAGGAAGCGATCGCGGTCTCGGTCGAGGGACAGAAAGAGGAAGTCCTCCCGTTCTTATTCTAGTGAGCGACGAGCGCGGGAAAGAGAAAAGGAGCGGCAGAAAAAAGGGCTTCCTCCTATCCGCTCAAGGGTTCTCAGTGGTAAGTTTACAGAGGTCCACCTTATGCTTTCTGAATTTATAAGGGTCGTTTTTTAGAGGTTAAGTCTGTCAAGTTTAATGCAAATAAGTTGAAACTTTCTGTCCAAACTAACTTGTTGATGGTAAGCATTAACTTGTATGAAAATTCTGTAATTTACTCATCCTCAAGTTGTTCCAAACCTGTATGAATTTCATTCTTCTGCTGAACACAAAAGAAGGTATTTTGATAATGTCGGTAACCAAACAGTTGATGGGGCCCCCATTGACTTCTATAGTAATTATTTTCCATACTTTTGGAAATCGATTTTGATTAAATTGTTTGTTTACCCATTTTCTTGAAAATATCTTCTTATGTGTTTTGCAAAATAAAGAAATTCATACAGGTTTGGAACAACTTGAGGGAGAGTAAATGACGACAGAATTAAATTTTTTGGGTGAACTATTCCTGTAACCGTCTCGTCCATAACACATAATTAAGTTTAAGGATGCTTTGTATAAAATCATGTTCATATCATAGGAAAATCACAAACCTCCGTGTTTACTAGGGGTGGGGGAAAAATCGATTCTTAGATGCATCGCGATGCGGACATGGACGATTCTGAATCGATTCACAAATGTCAAAAATCAATTTTCAAAAAAAAACAAAAAACATTTATATATATTTTATATATATTTATAATAACGCAATATTGACGGAACGCAAAAGACGGAACTCTGAAGCCCGGAAGTGCAGTGCCCGGACCGCCTGTGGCGTGCACATAACAGAGACGCGATGGCTGAGCGCGAAATCCAAACACCCTCCGCGTTAAAAGCTGACGTGTGGAAATATTTTGGCTTCTATGAAGTTGAAGGGGGAAAGGAGCTGGACAAGAGCCACAATATTTGTAAGCTTTGTAGAATAAAACTAAAATATTTCGGAAACACGACAAATATGAGAAGCCATATGACACGTTTCCACCCAGAGGAGGAAAAACACTCGGCTGTAACATTACCGGTCGTTGTTATATTATTAATTTACTACAAGTATGCTGCTAGTTCAGGCACACATTTTTTTTCCTGTTGGTTCTTTGCAATGTTAATAAAAAATATTGTACGTTAATTCTTTATGGGACATTACTTTGTACTTTTAAAGCAAAGTATTTATAGTCACACACACACACACATACAAAAGATTCAGATAATCGCTTTAGCATCGAATCGCAGACCTCTGAATCGTAATCGAATCGTGAGGTGCCTAGAGATTTCCACTCCTAGTGTTTACTGACTACTGCTTTGGTCTGTGAGAGAAAGCTAAAGAGATTAAAGAGTTAAAGAGATGGTTCACCCAAAAATTATGAAGATTTACACGATATAAGTTGTTCTGTCAGGCCAGTTGACAGAACTGTTACTTGTAAAAATTTCAGTGCCAATACATCACTGGCCTAAAAATGCATTTATTAATCCACAAATGTTAGATAGCCATACACCTGCTAGAACACTCAATTCCTTCACTAAACAGAGTTACAGATTTCTTGCAAATGTCTTCTACCATAAAATCACATCTGTAACTCGTGTTCATTTCGTGATTCCTCTTTCAGTTTGCAGCACTACTCTATGGGTTGGCCAAGTGGACAAGAAGGCCACCCAACAAGATCTTACTAACCTTTTCGAAGAGTTTGGCCAGATTGAATCTATCAATGTGAGTTGAGTTTCTGTAACTTTGAGCACTGTAACTATGAGCACTTGAGAGCATCTTAGATTAGTTCAAATTTTAGTTAGAGCAGTTGTGCCATCTAGCCAAGAGGCATTTCTTGGGTCTATAAATATTTTTTGCTGAAGTGTTATTAAAAATACCCTAAACTTGAAGTACTCTTTTGAAAATAAAGGTTATTTAACCTTTGCTTGTAGATCCTCAGATTTTGTTTTATGATTTTTTTTTTTTTAATGAATTTTTATTTTTTATTTTTTTTTATTAGATTATTATTATTAATACTTTTATTTATTTTCCCAGATGATTCCTCCCAGAGGCTGTGCTTATATCTGTATGGTCCATCGTCAGGATGCATACCGTGCCCTTCAGAAACTGAGCACAGGCTCCTACAAAATTGGTTCAAAGGTCATTAAAGTATGTGTGAAGAATGTTCGCTGACTTATCATTTTTGTAATGTTCTATAATTTCTTATGGGAATATGTCTTAAACATGTTGCATTGCTTCCAGATCGCTTGGGCCCTCAACAAAGGGGTGAAACAGGAGTATAAGCAGTTCTGGGATGTGGACCTTGGGGTCACTTATATTCCTTGGGAGAAGGTCAAACTGGATGACCTGGATGACTTTGCAGAGGGAGGCATGATTGACCAGGAGACTGTAAACAATGGTAAGAAGAATTTCCTTGTTTATGAGCTGAAAATTGTAGATTTATGCAACTTGTATATATGTAACTTCTACTTATTTTTCTGTTGCAGAATGGGAATCACAGAGGAATACTGAGACAGTCAAAGAGACTCCGAGTCAGGCTGTTACAGCTGAAACCAGTACAACCAGCAGCACACCTAGTGAGGCCTTTACACAGCCTGTCACTATGATGCCCATGCAGGTATGATTTCAGCACTCATTCAGGCCTGAAAATGCCCTGACAAATGGAAAAACACACATTTCGGTTTCTTACTCTTTGCTAGATTTTAGGGATGGTGTGGTGCGGCCATTAAAGATTTAAGCTGGTTACTGAAGTTTGTTGGTTCAAACCCCACTTAAAGTAAAATAAGAGATACTACCATTGCATTCTTGTTTTCATTTTGCACCTTGGGGTGGGGAGACAGCTGAATTAATAATGCATTACCGTTTACTTCTCCATGGATGGCTTTGTTCGGTTTAGATTCCAGTGGCACAGACCGTCTCTGCTGTTGGCCTTGTGCCTCCATCCTTCCCTGTCACCATGTCAGTGCCCCCGCCAGGCTTTGGTCCTCCTCCACCCTTTCTGAGGGCAGGGTTCAACACCTCACAGCCTCCCCCAGGTACATAGTTCAAATCTGAACATTCAGTAATTAGGCACTTAACTGTATGATAGATTTTTTTTTTTTAAATATTTACATTTGTAAACATTAGTTAACTGCATTAGTTATCATGAACTTACAATGAAAAATGCTTCCAAAGCATTTATGAACCTTTGTTAAAGGTGTAGGTCACTTTAAAATTAAGATTACCCCATAATTTACTCACCCTCAAGCCATCTTAGGTTGTTCTTAGGTCTATCGTTTATGATGGATGGATGTTAATTTCAACATTTACTAATACATTATTAAAGTCAAAAATTTTAAATGCCCCTATTATGCTATTTTAAAGTTTCCTAATGTTGTTGTGGAGTCTCCTACAACGGTTTACATGCATCAAAGGTCAAAAAACATTTTAATTTCCTCATAATATACATTTGCACATCACCACATTTTCAATGATTTTCAAACGACTCGTCAGATGAATCAATCCCTCTAAATCCCTCCTTTCCGCGAGCTACTCTGCTCTGATTGGCTAGACAGCTTAGTCTGTTGTGATTGGTTTACCGTGTACAGCGCGCGTCGAAAACAAAAACGGCCATTGCCATAACATCAGCTATGCTTGTCCTGAGGCTTCCTACACCGTAAACTAAACAGACTGACAAACAATGACGTCGATTTTACCATATCAATGCGAGCGCGAATCCGAAGATGAAACATTGGAAGAACTATTCATTAAACCCGAACCTCCATCGCAAGGACAACTTGAGCAGGACGTTTCTCAGTGACACGCTAACGTTACTCAGTTTGCTACCTCACCATCAGCATTAACAAGTACAAGTAAAATAATCGGTTTGTTGATGGACATGCACTTATTTATTTACTGAGTATTTTTCTAATATATTGTGGTGAACACGTGGAAACTGTATCAATAACAGTGCATGTATGCAATGTATACATTAGCCAAGCTCTAGCATGAATGACTGATGTAACATAAACGTTGGTAAAACAAATCTTGCTCCATGCTTAATCTTTCCTCAAAGTAGTGAGAACAACAGATAATCTGCATTAATAGACAGTTTTAGGTAATAGTGGACGACAGCTGATCAGCAGAAGTATTTCAGTAAGACAGTGATAACATAAGTTAGCCAGTTAGCAGGAGACCTTCACAATATAAAACTCAAAACTAAGTATTTTGAACTCCATCTTTCAAGAGCAAGCGGTTTGCGAATCCTGCATTTAACTCCGAGATTTGAGAAGCAGTCGTCAGTAAAATAAAGGGAACACAGCAAAAGTTTAGGATTATTCTGCTGTGGTATAGTGGTAAAGATTCATTTTAACCACTGATTCTTCACATGCTCGTCCTTGAGCAGTGAAAACAAACTGGCTTTAGCCTACCTTCACATTGTAGAGCACACCGTCTTCTCGACATGATGCTGTCCTGTATCCACAGGAATCAGCTGCCGGTTTGAGGTTCAAGTTTTCCCTGGTGTCTGCGCGCGTAATAAGTGGGCGGGCAATATGCTAATGTTTCGTCTTGACATCACGACGAATCAGCTTATGACTTGTTTGAAAAACGATTAATTTCATTGACTCAGTCGACTCATAAAGACAATGGGTCTCATTCATGAAACATACTCATATATATGAGTATGATTTGCGTGTAAAGAGACCTTCCCGAAAACTCTTCTCCTGATTCACAAATACTTCGTAAACATCAGATGTGATAGTGAAATGTGTGTGTGTGTTAATGAATTCCAATCAGTCGTAAATGGGACGCGCGTGCACGCTCATTCTCAATTACCATAAATCCCGCCCATTAAATCCGACTGACAACTATATATGGGCATCATGTTATTTGATTTGATTTGATTTTTCTGGTAAATTTACAATGAAATAACCAAAAAAAAAAGGAGTAGGCTGAAGCCGAGGCTTATGTTTGCCTACCCTATTTATTTATTTACCCTATATTGTGACACCAAACGAAGGATTTCAACATGTCTTCTCAAAAGCAAATGAAAAAGAAAAAATTCTCAGATGCAGAAATCGAAGTTTTATTATCAGAAGTTCATTCAAAACACCACTTTTTATTTTCAAGCATAGGCTACATAGTGGCGTATCAGAGTTTCATCTGTTAATCAAACAGTCCCAGAAGTAAAAAGAAAAACCGTATGTAATTACTATATATAATATTTTTTCAAAATGCTGTGTAAATATGTACCCGATTAAGGTGAATTAAAATGCAGCCTTAGTTATTAATGAGCAAAACGTTCGGATGTTAAACTGACTATTTACGCGTGGCTGGGAGCAGGTGTAGATTTCTTTCGTACCAACTAACATTTGGAAAATACGAACATGAATCCGGAAATTTACGCCAGAACCACTTTACACACGATTTACACAAATTCTTTCTGCTCGTGTTTCATGAATGAGACCCAATAACTTTATTTACTGTGCACTTTCAGATTTAAAACTTTGCAGGATGTTTTCATTCACTTCATTCACACTACATGAAAGGTCATTTTCAAAAATTCATAATCGGGGCCCTTTAAATATGATTTAATTTAACATGAGACAACATGAACTATCAATAAATAGTTGTATTTTGAGACCTTTATTTATATAGCGCTTTATACAATACAGATTGTTTCAAAGCAGCTTTACAGTGATAAACGGGAAACAAGTGTTGATTCAGTTCCAATGTAAAGATCATCAATTATTAAATTAGTTCATTTCATCTATGCAAAAAAAAGAATTTAATCATTCAGTTCAGTTCTCATATAACAGAGTCAGGAATATTGTTGAATATTAAGAATAATTAAAACTAACAAAAATATTGCTTATTGTTAATGCATTAACATAACCTAATGGAAACTTATTGTAAAGCATTACCCAAATATTTATATATCTGTAATTTCTCTTTCACAGGTTTTATGGCCACGCCAGGAGTAGGACCCTCAGCAGTTGGAACCAGTCTTGCTTCGGCTCAGACATGTATGTTAAACAGCCTCTGAAATAAGCAATCCTTATTTCCTATAATGTTTCTTGTGAAAGCACTGTCATTAAGGTTGAATTTTCAAGCTCCTAAACAGGTTTTTTACCCCACTCTCACCTTTATAGCTCTAGTGCAGCCTTCGTTGCAAACCACTCAAGAGAACAGCAAGGATTCTCTGTTTGGAGCCATGATTCCTCCCACCGGTACTATTCCTGGGAGTTTTATTCCATCAGCAATGCCTGGGGCAGGAGTCTTTAACCCTGTGGGAGTACAGCATCAGCAGAGCAGCACAGACAAAACTCCTCAGTCTGCAGAAACTATGGAGGCCGAGCTAACACTACAAGGTAAATGGGTTTATAAGCACATTTTACATAATGTGAATACAAGTCATATGCAGCTAGCACACGGTATACTGTTATTTTATTCTATAGAACAAAAAAAGAGGATCTTGTTGAATCTTGCAGCAATACATTGACAGTCCATATGACTTGTGTGCTGTATTATAAACCTGCTGAGATGCTTCAACGTATGTAGTTTTTGTATCTAAATGATATTTTAGAGACTGTGGAGATTATGTAACTACCAAAAATCAGCTTACTGGAACAACCAGCTTCTCAAGAAAAAAAAAACATTTAGACTTAAAAATTAAACATCTGGTAAATCCTCTGTACTGTTGTCACCTCATATCACCTGTGTATCCGACTCAAGTGTTTCATTTATTATGTGAGTTATGTTAAGTAAAGCTTTAAAAAAACCAATTAATTCCAAAATGTTGCTGGACGCGCTTAAATCTGCAGTAATGAAGCTTTCCATATCACTTCAAAAAACAGACAGAACACAGGATTAGGTTTTTACATACCATTGGAAAAATGTAGCTGTGTCAATCCCTTAATGCTTAAGCTGGTTATAACCTTGCGCCGATTAAAGAAAACGGTTTAACATGACCAGACCTGTTGTCGTCTTAAGCATCTTCTGTCTGAGAATGTGCATGTAAACCGACGTGCTCAGTGAATAACGACTTTGCTCTGTCTCACGCACATCTGTTATAAAGCTTCTGTCATGGAATATAACCTCAAGTTGTACTATGCTGGGGACTTTTCAAGAATCATTTTGTTTTTATCCTTGTACTCTGGGTAAAACATTTCTTGTTTCTTTGTCAGGAATGCAGAATGCCGTGCGCAGTGGAATGGGTCTGCTGGGAATGCACCCGTCTGCATCTCTAACACACCCGCTCTCCGGTCAGAGGATGGCAGGGCTACTTCCCCTGGAACTGCGACCCAACCTGCTCCAGGGCCCCGGGGGCCGCTTCCCCCTGCTCATGCAGCCCGGTCTCGCACATCAGGCCAACAACATACTGGATGCTTCTCTTCAAGCCCAAGCCCATGTCCGTGTCCCATTTCCTCATATGGAGCAATTCAACCGTGCCGAGGGCACTTTTGCAAGAGCGCCTAACCCCTCATCTGCTGGGCCTGACAGTCTGGCCAAGGCTAATAACGAGACCCCACCCAGATCAGATGTAGGGGGCCAACAAGAGGGAGATCAGGACTATCGCTTTCCACCACCAGAAAAGCAGAGCACGGGGTTGTTGAAGACCCCTCCCTTGGAGATGCGTACTGAGCCTGTGCCTGCCAGACCACCTTTACTAGAACGACCTCCGAGAGCAGTCGAGGGTCGAGAGGCTAGAAGAGAAAACATGTCAGGAGGTTTCAGGACAGAAAGTCGCTGGGGGCCACCCAGGGGGGACTTTGATGAGCGAGACATGAGGGCGATGTCTGCTGGACCTCCAAAGGGTTTCCCGGAGGAGCGTTCCAACCCTAACTTTCAGAGTCGTTTCGACGGCCGCGGTGGAAGTTCATCAGGGCCAGCTTGGAATCGTGGAACTGGGCCTTCTTTTAACCCCAACATGCACCAGGACTACGACGATCGACGCAGACCTTGGGAAAGGCAGAAAGACCGCGACGACAGGGACATGGACTTCAGGGCCGAAATGAACGGCAATCGCCATAACCGGGAGCGAGACAGAGACCGCGAAAGGGAGAGGGACAGGAATCGGGACCGTGAACGAGCCAGAGAGCGGAATCGCGAGAGGGAGCGCGAGCGCGAAAAGGAGAGGGAGAATGAGAAGGACAAAGAGCGGGAACGCTGGACTCCACTTTCTTCACAATCTCAGCCTCAGCCGCTGCTTCCTCAACCCAAGTCTCAGCCGCTTCTCCCTCTGCCGACCCCTCTGCTCGCTCAGCCTCAAGCACAAGCGCGAATCAACTCGCCGTCTCCGCCAGTGTCCCAACACCAGCCTCAACCAGAACTGCAGCCAACGAAACCAGACGCTGAACTGCAACCAGAGGAGAAACCAGAGCCCAAGTCCCTCAGCCCCCCTAAAGAGACGGCAAGTAGTCACGAGCAGGAGGAAGCTTCATTTATCAATGGAATGGAAACAGATTCAAAACCTCAATTAAACATTTTGGAGCCTGCGTCCCAGGCTGCTACAGAGCGCTCTCGTAGCCCCTCTCCATCCCGCACCTCCACACCCACCTGCTTCCAGAATGAGCCCTCGAAAGAAGAGAAGACCCCAGAAATGTGTGTTTCCTCATCTGTGGATGCAGACACTAAACAGACTGGGCCAAAGGTGAACGCTGAGACTGAACCTGAGCTAGAGAAAACTGACACTGAGGAAACATAATCATCACTCAGTAGGTAAAGATCATTTTGTATAGTCATCTCTGTAATCGTTATGAAAGCTCTCGCAGGACCCACTCAGTTCGCTAGAACATAGCAGACACCTTAATGAATGATTGTTGCCTCTCAAGCTTCAAATGTATGTGCATTCTAGGCGGCTCACACTAGAGGATCTAAATGGTAGGTGGGATTTTAATATTTTATTTTATTCCCTGTTTTTAGTTTTTAATGCAACCCCATTGTTTTAAACTAGGTGTGTTTTTTTTCTCTCATGACACTTGCTTGCCAAAATATAATGTAGCTTAATTGTAAATGCAGGGGGGAAAGAGGTTTGACCTTCCTATGGAAGAGTGTACGGATTCTGGCTGTCTCCTTTGGATTGATTGCAGAATTCTTGAAAACAGCACTGGCTGGTTTCGTCTTTTCTTTTCAACACTGCAGCAGCGAAGTTTGAAATGAATGCTTCTGTGGTGTCCAGTGCTTCTTGTCTCTAAAGCAGAATATACGTACATCAAATACAGTGAGAACAGTACTAAGTTTTAGTTGCTTTAAAAGGAACCCTTACAAAAAAAAAAAAAATTTAACTACGATGTATTATCCCAATATTAAATGTCTGTGATTTTTCCTTCATCAAACTTCTATGGAAATACATGTGCTCAGAAAAGGCGTTTAAAGGAAAAATGGATGTTGGGTGCAATCTGTTTTGGTTTTAAATAAACATGCTCTGATTGTTAAAACATTCTTTAGGACTGTGTTTTGTATCGTGGAGAGAAACCATCTGCACACAAAACCATTAAAGCCATGAGCCAAGTGATAATGGCTCCAGTGTCGTGGATGGGATGAAATGTTTTTTGGTTGTGAACTGATCTAAAGTTTGGGCGGCCACCAGATTATTGACTGTGTGCTGTGAGGTTTGCATTTAGATCTCTCCTCCGTCCTTTACCCAGAAGAGCAGCTTTGCATGCCGCATTAAAGGGTTAGTTCACCCAAAAATGAAAATCTGTCATTAATTACTCACACTCGTGTCGTTCCAAACCATCTTCAGAACACAAATGAAAATCTTTTTGATAAAATCTGAGAGCTTTCTGTCCCTATGCAACTACCACTTTGAACTTTTAAAAAGTTCATAAAGAGATTGTAAAACTGAATCATATGATTCGAGCGGTTTGGTCCAAGTTTTCTGAAGACAGACAATCGCTTTATATGATGAACAGATTGCGAGGGGTTCAATCTCGTGTTACGCAGCACATTTGAGCTTCTGCAAGAACCAATGAGGTTTGTTCTCGCGTGCCAAGCAGGTTCGGTTGAGCTTTTATGTTCGCTGATCAATGCTTATATGTAAATAAAAGCCTAAATTAAATCTGTTAATCATATAAAGCGATCGAGTCTCTTCAGAAAATTAGGACGAAACTGCTCGATTCATATGGATTAGTTTTACAATCTCTTTATTAACTTTCTGAAGCAGCAAAGTGGTAGTTGCGTAGCTGTCAATGGAGGAACAGAAAGCTCTCAGATTTCATCCAAAAGATCTTCATTTGTGTTCTGAAGATGAAAGAAAGTCTTACGGGTGTAGAACGACATGAGGGTGAGTAAATGACCATTTTCATTTTGGGTGAACTAACCCTTTATGTCTTGAAAGCATTGGAAATATGTCATGCACACATCAGTTTTGGTACAGCTCTGCTTTGGCACACACTCGCATGCTCCAAATATAACAGATCAGTGTGTAATTGCACCAGGTTTTGCTGCAGAATTCACTGCTAGTGTTTAATCACACAACACTCAGACATAAATGCTGTCCCTGAACTTAATAGAATGTCAACCAGCATTATGTTCTCTAATATTGTGAAGTAGATGTGTACAGAGTCATTTTTTAGGAATAAAAAAACAAAAAAAGCTAGAAAGCAAATTTATGAGGCTTTTTTGTTGTTGTTTGTTTGTATACTGGTTTAGGAGAAAGCAGGCATACTTTAAATTAGTTCAAAAGGAAGCTATTTTCACAACTAGTTTACTGCACTTAGGCCTAATTTTATATAAATATATTAAAGTGTCCAATTCAAAAATTTCCTGAAGTTTAACAATCAGTCAGATTCACAGTCTGACATTAAAACCAACCTGCTCATTGAAACAAAGTCATTTTCATTGTGCAATTGAAATGAATATTCAAGTTTCTGAGACATTCATCTAATTACTGAATGTAGGATAGTGTGTCAGTAATAATATGGTATTTTAGTAAAGCATGAGCGTTTTGTGTCAAGCAGACATACATGCTTTATCAAAACAGTGGGGAATCGGTGGCTCAAATGCAAATAACATGTTCATTATTTGAAAGGTATAGTTCACCCAAAAGTGAAAATGGTCCTTTACTCATCCTAATATCATTCCAAACTCGTAAGACTTTGGGTTCTGGAAGAATCTTCGGAGCACAAATCAAGATTTTTTTTAATACTCGCATCATTTTTGTCAAAAAAGTCTTTGCAACCAATATTTTCATGCTTCAAAAAATTAAAGCATTGTAAAACTAACCCGTTTGAATCGATTGATTTAATCTAAGCTGAAGTGAAGACAAACTACTGAGCATGCATGTGCTTCAAATTATATGTTGATCTTTGGAGTTTAAATGTGAATAAAAACCTAAATTCAAAAACCTTTTCATCATGCAATGCGATTGTGTCTCTTCAGAAAAATCTGATTAAACTGCTTGATTCATATGGATTCATTTAATGAAGCTTATGTGTATATATATTAACTTTTTAATGTGAGGAAAGTATTTTTTTCAGCTCTTTAAAACATCAGCTCGGCTTAATTGTTTTTGATAGAACTTTAAAGGTGCTTTGTCTGCCAGATCCAACAGCTGTGATCATGAATACCCACAATTCCTATACAATACAGTTGACAAAAAGCAGTGTGTGAAATTAGTATGTGTGAATTTGTAGAATTCATAAATCAGTAAGTGAAAAGTACCCAAATGACCTGCTACTAACACCTGAAGTGTGTGTCCAATGGACATCTAACTATACATGAGGCCCCTGGAGACCATTAAAAAACTGGAGGGGAAGAAACAACACTGGCGCCCATAGTCACAACAATGCCAACATTATGGCTGAATTGCATTCATATCACACGCATACATTGTGAAAATTAAAAAAGTATGTTCTATAAAGTAAGTCTTTCGTCAAATGTAGTACCTACTATATGGTTTTGAAAGCAGTAGTATTTTGATTTGATGGCATAGCTATAAGCCAATTTCAATGACATCACATGATTCATGAGCTCTTCAGCAGTGCACCGCTAATCAATCACGCTTCACATGTCCGTGTGTGTGATGCTTAACCAGCGTGTGCTGCTGGCATGAGTGCTGGAGGGGGGTGTATTAGCTCGCTCTTGCCAGGCTAACATGTTTAATCCGCAGAAATCTTTTTGACTCCATAAAACATAATGCAATGCAATACAATATAATTTGTGTTCTAAATAAATTCCTCGAAAGCCTGATGTATCATTTTAACATCGTTTTTCAAATGATGACCAAGTAAACCTAAGCTGCTTCAGTCCCAGTAAGTGTTCATCTTGAAATATTGCTAACAATATAAAAGTTGTTTACGTTCCAAAACCTTCACAGCATAAAGGCACATGTAGAATGACCTGAAGGGGGGGTGTTTTTATATAGGCCTTTACTTGTACAAATCTTCTACATGTTTTTTTTTTTTTTTTGCAAGTTTTCATCATGTTGATATTTTATAGGCCTTAGTTATTCACATATCAAATTATGATACATTAGAGCAGGGATAGGCAACGTCAGTCCTGGAGTGCCGCTGTCCTGCAGAGTTTCTGTAGCCTTCGGCTGCGTCCCAAATCACCCCATGCCCTTAATAGGGCACTGTTTGAGGGGACAGCAATTTGTAGTCGTGTCCCAAACCATAGTGGATGTTATCGAGTGCACTCATTCAATCCCACAATGCACCACGATAACGAGTATACAACCGATGTAAGCTCAACATCTACAAAATACCCATAATGCACTCTGACGGTCACAGCGAATGAATTCCCGCATCTCGCCAGAAGATGGCGCCCACAGCTGAATCATCCATCCATTTTCCAAATCGCTGGTCCAATGTGGCTACAGTGTAATATTATATATGTTTTAATTGATTAATTTTAGGTTTATACATAAGCTGCGTTCCATTCGACAGGGTCCCTACGCAGTGTGCACTGCTCCCTGAGCACAGGGCATCTGTTGAAGTGGACTTCGCTGACAATAATCACTCATTTGGCCCTGCAACGATGCGCAGATTATGATATAAATATTGTAATTTATTTTACTTTAAAATGTATCAGTATCATATAATGTACATATACTACATATACTACTACAGCTATAAATTGACTATTAATAGATTTGAAATAAAAAAATGACAGAGCCTCAGCTGCTTCTCAACTCTTTTACTTTGCTTACATAACTATTCACACAATAGAATGCAAACGTAAAATTAAACGCCATAACCATTCATAAATATTCTAGTTTGTTAGTTCAGACGTGATGCGCAATGACAGCTGTGTGATATTCCCTCTCCACTTCCTGTGAAGTGATGCATTGACGTTCCCTCATTCCTAATGCTGTTCGCAGGGCCCTTCCAACTGAACATGTCCGCTCCCTTCGGATTGGAAGTCCACTTCACAGTCCTCGTACGGTCGAGTGGAACACACCTATAGTTTCAGACAGAGTTCAAGATAAACATTTTCAATGCTATTTAGCAAACTGGCAGCTCTAGTACTAAGTACAAACTACGCATAAGCAGGAACCCTTCCGGTGCACTCAGTGTCCGAGTTCACTGTGGACTAATGCAGGGAATAGTGAATGAATTCAAACACAGCCTTAGTAATCCTGAATTAGCCTGTTCGTGTGTGTTTGATCAGGGTTGGGGTTAAACTCTACAGGACTGGAGTTGTCTATCCCTGCGTTTAGCCAGCCTTTAGTGATCCCTACATACACTGATCAGTTAGAAGCGTTTGGTTTTGAGGACTGAACGTGTGACGCTCCGGTTTAGCTCTCCGCAGGATCCTCCGCTCACACTGTTCTCTGAGGACCAATGCTCTGGGTAGTTTACAGTGCTTTCATATGCTAGTGCGTCAAACCTTTCTTATAGATTATGCTCTTACAGAATCTCAATGAAAAGAGTGAACCTTCCAGTAACGTTGCCTGTCATGTAGAAGACATTCAATTTCCTTTAAACAATATTTCACATTCTTTATAGAAACTTTGTATAATTTCTTGTATTACTGTACATGGTTGAATATTTGTTAAATATTGCAGTATAGGATTTGTTTGACATTGCCTATGAACAAAAACTATCAAATATCAGCATGAATTCAACTGATCCTATTAATGCTTGATGCATGTTTCTGGTCTTATGAATGATTCATCCATGCAATTTCTTTATAATTATTTTGACCTTGTAATATTTAGTCCAAATGTCAACTTGCTCTCTGCTGACGTATGGATGGAGTCGAGCCAGTCACATTCAGACATGCAACTCACTTTTCCTAACCCAACCTAAGGACAAAATCAAGTCTCTCACTACATTGTTTTTGTTTCTTGCTCAATGAGACGTTTCACTCAGTGATGTCAAAACAGTAGTTAGGTTGTTTGCAACTTCCTCTTTATGCCAACTTTTTGTTTTGTCCAATAGCGAAGACGCCTTTTCTCAAATACTGTCTCCATTGTCAAAAAAAAAAAAAAAAAAA